AATCACCTTTGTTTTGCTAAATTATNGTATGTATGGTCATGCTCCTTTGCTGATGTGTCTTTAAAACAACTATTCAGGCTATTACAAGGTCAGACGAAGATTATATGTTAACGAACCTTTTGATAAGCTAAATTTATCTGGTAAAAATGTGAAAAAATGGGCCTGACAAAATATGGAGACTTTCCATGCTTGGAGTAATGCTTAGAAATATGACGTGAAACTGACTATAAATCAAAGAAAAATTTAAGTATCTTGTAAAAAGATTGTTATCTGTACATCAGAACATCATCATTTGTGTTCTATGGTGGTTACTAGGTTTTCAAAGAATAGAATCACCTTTGTTTTGCTAAATTATGTGTTTGTTGCGCTAATCAGAGGCCCGTTTTAGATCAATTTTAAGGTAAGAATCGGTGTATTTCTAAACAACGAAACTGATTTGGCTTTGACAATTCATTTTCACTTACCAAATACAGAATAAGGGCTTCTTGTCAACAATTTGGTTTGTTTATGGCCTGAATTAGGCTCAAAATTCCATTTTGCATCGCCTTAGAGGGGCATGAAGTGTTTGTTCCAAAAATTCAATAAACCATCATAAGCCAAATTTTTCTCAACTGATTTTGATAACTGGGTGACTAAAGTAAACAGTGGTATAGGTTGGGAGTTATGCAAGAAGGCAGGTGAATATAATGAAATTTTGAAAAATGGCTATTTTGGGTTGTACTTTTAACATCAATTTTGACCAAACTCTAGCCCCAGGCTCCTCTCTGTGCAATACTTTGAGGACAAAGTTACATGCATGACCTGAAAGCTCTATTATAGTAGAGTTCATGGTCAAATTTATTTGGTAGCACAATTTACCAGTGGGGTCTTACGGCACTTTCAAAATTCCCCCTGGAAGGCTGGATTTTTGGTGCTCAAAGGGCCAAAAATGAGACCCCCCCGGTGACTTCAAAACTAAAACTCAGAGAAGTGAGCCAAAGTGGCTTTTGAAATATCTCATTATACCCAACTTCTGTGCCAAGTTTCAGCCAAATCGGTAGACTACAACTTTTGGCCCCTGGAACACTTTCTCAGACAATGACACTTAAGTCTACGAGTCCACGGCTTCTACGTTCGCAGGATTTAGATCAACTTTCGCTTTCGCGGCTTAGAGGGAGTGGAAACGATCAGCAGTATAAAAGTTTATTGGCTCAGTTACGCTGTAATCAGAATGATATGCTTGAATACAGGTCGAGCGCGGTTAGTAAAAGGTGATCATATGCAAATTGCCTTCAAGTTGGCGGCAAATCTTTGGAAAGCTTCAAAGAATGAAATTTCTTAGTTTCTTACGATTGCGTTGTCATTGACGGATATCGGACTAGGACTAAAAGGTCCTATGGAAAGCTTTCCTTTCATTAAGCTGCAATTGGTATCTGGTTGAGAATATGCTTATTTAAGTCTAAAGACCGCAAAGTTTTAAGTACGGAACCAATCTTTCCGCGGTGTAGGCAAAATGACACACTGATCTATTTGGTAACAGATTGTAAGTGTGTCATGGTTAAGAAAACACTCTGCTTAACTATGACTGCAAGATCGGCTTCGGAACCAAAATGTTGGATCCTTCGTCAGTTGCTCAGGTATAGCTGTAAACAAGACCTCACCAGGAAAGCCAGTGCCGCAAACTAAAACTTGAGTCGGTTGATTTCGCGTAGCATGCAGGATCCAGCCTGTAATTGGTTCTTTAGACAGGAAGCTGATTGGATGATTTCTATGACCTTTGTTGTGTGAGGAGATCTTGATCCTGTTTCAGCGTAAGGTCATGAGCTAGTGATCCAATGAGTAAGATTTGCCGAAAATGTTCCCTTAAAGGCTAATTTGTCCCAAAATTTGAGGCGGAAAGTTACTAGGTTCGTTGTGAGCAATGAAAAACGCTCTGTGAATATGCTTGTTGGAAGTGATGTTTTGGCGAAATGCTTCGCCGACAGGACTAGTATGTATAATTATAATTTCGAAGTGTGAAAATCACTCGGTTATTGTTGAGAGTGAAAAAATAACTGAGGATTGAAGGAGTGTCGTTATATAGATAACTTCGAAAGTATGCTGTAGAAAGTTGATCAGAAAATGACGATGGATTTAAACCCGTAGTCTCCTTGAAACGTAGAGATACCCTCCGAATAGGACTAACACTTACGCGGGCAAGTAGTAATTTACTCCGTAGAGCGTTACAACTAAAGTTTTAACAAAGTCTACGAGTCCACGGCTTCTACGTTCCCAGGATGTAGGTCAACTTTTATGGCTTAGAACGAGTGGAAATGATCAGCAGTACAATTGTTTATTGGCTCAGTTACGCTGTAAACAGAATTTATATACCAACCTCTCCTGTTCCTAATAAGCTCCAATAAATCCTTATTAAAGGATTTCAATAATTTCGCTAGAAAAATGAGTTTAAGATATATGCTCGCAGACAAAAGGAAAACCTTGGCACATCCCTTTCATGTTGAATCCTTATGGCAGCCACCGATTCAAACCTCGGTTGCCCTAGAACGTTTAGTGACTTAATTAAGCGAGAGTTCAACTGACATGAACCGACAAACCGACAACTGACAAATTTTGTCGGTTTGTCAGTACCGACAAATTCACTGACAAATTTTGACTTAATTAAGCTGGAGTTCAACTGACATGAACCGACAAACCGACACCTGACAACTTTTAGTTTTTTAGTTTTATCTCAAGTTTTATCTCCAGTCTTGAAAACGTTTTTAACAATTAAGCCCAAATGTAGCAGTTAACGCTTTGGTGACGGCCAGCAAGAAACGAAAAAAAGATGTTTTCACCATTTCCCTTCTTGAACTGATTCTTGACTATCATGAGAATGGCTAACAATGAGGTTTGCAACACAGAGGACATATTTCCTACGAAAGGGATGTAATTAAACAGAAAAATTATTATAAACATTTTTTTTCGCATAAGCGCACAAACCAAAATTGGAACTTTTTTTAGGATCTATTTCGATCTTTCTCAGTCTCGCTCTCTGTATTTTTTCCTTTGCCTTCCTTCTTTATAAAGTGTTTTATTGCCTACTTTATCTTCTTTCTTTTGCATTGAATTGAGGCTGGCTAATTTTTAGTAAAGGGGCAATTTCAATCTTCAAAGATTACAGTGCAGGTAAACAGCTAAATTGATAGTGGATTTTCTCCCAAAATGTTACTTTTCTTAATTTTCTTAGTGAGTGTAACTCTAGTTAGGATTGCTCAGAATATCCTGAGAACGAGGCATCGATGGAAAGATATATATTTGATGACGTTGTTACGTAGCAACTTATATTAGGTTAAAGTGAAAGCTATTAAAGTGGGTACAGTACGGGTAGTGAAAATATGCTGTTTCATATGGAAGGAAAACGACCAAAGGCAAAGGGCCAGTAAAGGAAAAACGGAAATACTCGCATGATGTTGCAGGCACGATACGAGTTTCAATAATCTCATCTGTATACAGTATCATGTCCATGCCTTTCACGTAAATTTTGGGACCAAAAGCAATGTGAAACCACCATCATAAGGCCTAGGAGCACAATCGGACTCAACCACCTCCCTCTTATCTGGGTGGCCATCGATTTGTACATTCCTACTCTATGTTCTATTATATGGTACAACTCGCACAAACTCACAATCATTACTTTTAAGAATAGGGTTGATATGTATGTGTAATCAAATGGTGACGAGTGAAATTAGGGAATAATATCACGCGCGTTTTGTCCAAATCCTTATAATTTCCCGAGCCTTTAGGCGAGGGAAATTATTAGGATTTGGACAAAACGCAAGTGAAATTATTCCCTAATTTCACGAGTATACCATTTGATTACCTATTAATATCATGGGTGACGAATTACCTTAGCAATCGAGGATTTTTGACTTGTTTATCCTGGATCGTATCGATCGATCGTGAAGTCCACTCTCTCAAACGTTTAGAGCAGAAATTTGGCATAAGTTTTCAGAATTTTTCGACAACACACCTCTAAGAATCCTTGTTGATGTGCTCTTTCATGTGTTCAGGTTTTCTAAAGCGTTTTTTTTATGCCTGTGACATCTTCATTCATGACATTTTAAAACTTCGTCGCCATCTTGAAACGGAGAGGTACGGCAGGTTGCTATGGCAATTTAGTAATTTCACATGTGAAATTACAAGACTAGTGTTGTATAAACGTCCAGTTATAATCCGTTCGCTTTTTCAATGAGCTGTATTCAATGTATACTAGGCTCTTCATTCCGTCGGCACAGCGTCACCTCAAAATCATACATCATATGGATAAACATATATATTGTTTACTGGGGTAAATCCCGTAGTGAAATACCATTGAATGCAGAGAAATACTAGAGGGCATGTAAGCACCTTTTTAGGGGAGGAGGAAGCGAAAGAGAGTAATGAAACTGCTGGTAGCACGGTCAGTTTCACCAAGTCTGCCAATATATAGATTTAGCCAGAGCTAAAAGCGCAGCTCCTATTAATAAATTTGTAATTTAACTCAAAAATTAACCTTGTAATCCACAAATCAGTTAACTTAAGGGCACATATGTGACTTTTTAGGGAAAGCTAAGGCTAAGTGATTTTAGAGTGGAAAAAAAATCTTACATCCAATTGATATCCGTATATATACACCCAAAAAATAGCAATCATCTTCGTACGGAAAGCAGGTGTTTTTCCACTCGAAAAGGTCAGACAACACAAACAATTATTCATCGTCAATGAAATTAGACGTACGGCTTAAAAAATAAGATCTTGCATTGTTTTAAAGACGCCATTGCGAAAAACTTTGTTGCGAACGAACATCACAGTTTTACAGTTGTGTTTACATTCACTGTCGTCGTCGTCGACCGACCGACTGCATCTTAAGTTTTCTTTTTCCCGCCGAAACTGACGTTCTCGTTCCAGTCTTTTCACAGTCAACAGACGTCGTCGTCGTGAACTTCGTCGTGGTTCTTAAGTTCCCTACTGTCTTCGAAAAGTTTCTCAACGTCTTTTCTTAATTACAGCGGGATAATGGCGAAACCATTTTGCGAAACAGCGAGTCTTTCATAGCGATGACACCTGATGGCAACTGTTGTGAAGATTTCTTGTACTTTGGACATTCTCAAGTATTCAAGAGCTCTTTTTGTCTTTGTTTCTCCATTTTTCTTCTTTGTAAATAGCTCTTGCTTAACTTTTTTCAAAGCAATTACTTGCTTAAGCCGAAATAATCCCACAAAACGTTTTCAAAACCGCGAGCCATGTTGAACAAAAACAAAGAAACCATTATCCATGTATCTGTACTCTAATAGATATGGGCAACGACCAATCACAGGGCGTGTAGCATTCACATAATTGTATAAAACCACCTTGGTCCTCACAACCACCACAAGGACCTCAACCCTCCCAACCTCCACAATCAGCACACCCAGCCGACTAACCCAACCCTCACAACCACCAAAACCTCGACAACTATAATCACAAGTTTCAAAACCTCTCCAACCAAAACAAAAACCACAATTCCCACATTACCACCATAACCAGCATAATCTCACAACCACCAACTCACCCTGTACAAATAAAACACACACACCACAAACAACACACCCTCCATAACCAACACAACCAGCACAACTTTTACAAACTCCACAAACCCTCCACTACCATTACAAGCAACATAACCCTCACAATCCACAACCAGACAATCTCCATAATCAAAACAACCACCACCCTTCACAACCATTACAACCAGCACAACCCTAACAACCTCGACAACTAACACAACCTCCACAACCAACACAAGCTCCACAGTCAACACACCCTCGACAACCAACACTATCAGCACAACCAACACACCCTCCACGGCCACCGCAACCCTCACAACCGTCACAACCAACACTGAGAACACCCTCCACAACCATTACAACCAACATAACCCTCACATTTTCCACAACCAATACAATCTCCACAGTGAAGACAACCACTACACCCTCCACAATCATTTCGACCAAAACAACAAACACAACCCTTATAACATCCACAACCAACACACCCTCCACAACCTACACAACCACCCTCCACAACCAACTCAACCTTCGACCATCACAACCAACACAAACAATACAACTCCCCCAACTAGCGCACCCTCAAAACAACCAAAAGCCCTCCTACTACCAGAGCTGTCACAGAATGTTGTTAAAGTATGAAAGTATATATATAACACCCCCTAGAAAACAAAAGATGTCCTAGTTTGTCATGTATAACAGTTTCCTTTTATCAAAAGGAAATTGAGCAAGGTTTGAGTTATACTGTAACTGTAACCTTGAAACTCAAGCGCTACTTTAGATCAACAGGACGCTCTCAAACACAACACGATCACACCCGCTGTCAAGCCACATGACTCCAGACTTCCCACGCTAGGGAAGTCCCACTTATACGCTTGGTCATTCCCTTTATCCGCTTGCAAATTAAACTCCCGCCTACTACTACTAAGTAGCATAAAAATGTCAACAGTTTCTGAATTGGCACTTCTTGAGAGTTAAGGGTGAGGTTCCCTTAATCTCTGTATCAGTCTGATAGATAGCTTTTAATGAGGGTAAACTATCAGAATTCATTTCAATTCCTCTATCTTACATTAAATTCAGCATACTATCTAGTATCACTCAAGCAAAGGTAAGGGTTGTTTTAGTTGTGGAGGCTGCGAGGGTTGTGTCGGTTGTGTTATTTGTAGAAGATGTGCTTAGTTGTGAGGGTTGTGATGGTTGTGAGGTTTGTGTCGGATGTGCTGGTGCTGAGGGCTGCGGTGGTTGTGCTGGTTTGTTGTATTTTGGTTGTTGGAGTTGTGCTGGTTGCGGGAGTTGTGCTGATTGTGATAATTGTGGTGCTTGTGGAAATTGTGCTGTTTGTGGGAGTTGTTCTGGTTGTGTGGGATGTACTAGTTGTGATTTTGAGGGTTGTAGTGGTTGTGGAGTTTGTAAGGGTAACGTGATGGTTAAGGGAGTTGTGTTGGTTCTGGAGGATATGCGAATTGTAGTGGTTGTGAGGATTGTGTTTGGTTGTGGAGGCTGTGAATGTTGTTCTGGTTGGGGTGATTGTGAGAGTTGTGTTGGTGGTGATGGTGGTTGTGAAAGTTGTGTTGGTTGTCTTTTTTGTGGAGGTCGTGGGAGTTGTGGTTCTTGTGGCGGTTGTGAGGGTTGTGCTGAGTGTTGTCATGGTTGGTGAATGTTGTGATGGTTGTGCTGTTTGTGGAGGTTGTGGTGGTTGAAGTGGATGAATTGGTTATGGTGGTAATGTGTTGATTTATAGTGGGTCTGTTAATTGCGTGGGTTCGGTTTGTGTGTTGGTTGTTTTGGCAGTCGTTCTTTCGTTCGTTGTGTTGATGATTCTAGTGGTTGTAGAGGTTTTTAGGGTTCTTGTGCTTGTTTGTATTGGTTGTGGAGGTTGTGGTTGTTGAGGTTGTGTTTTAACTCGTTTTAACAAAGATCAGTTAAAGGTTAAGGCAAATCGTTTCTGTCTTTGTAAAGTAAAAAAGTAAAACAACAAAACAAATTTAAAAAGTGCTAATGAGGCCTTAAACTGCTGTTTTAAAAATGAAATTGCAATTCAAGCTTTCGCCGATCAACGTCATCATCAGGGAATGACGACGTAATCGATTTCAATTTTTTTTGTTTATTGTTGTCATAGTGATACGAATTTTACTTAAATCTACATTTTAATAAACTTCAATCCAGAGTCAGTCAGTGGTTAAAATTTTAAAGCGATCGGACAAGGATAAAATTACTTTTAAGGCGATTGAAGCATATCGGTATGGTCTCCGAAAAACTGTACCGAAACACCTTAAGTTTTGTCGGGAAAGAGGGTCACCCTGACTCCCAGCGAATCAACTTTAGCTAGCGTTTACATGAGAAAAAAGTTGACTCCATTTCCCGAGCCAACAACTCTAGCACATGCTTTGATTGTCTAGCTTTGACGGGGTTTACCGGGCGCCGAGCAAACTTTTTGTTTCGATCTCATGTAAACGGTTCGCCAAGTTTTGTAAGGAAATGTAGGAAACGTTGGCTCGGATATTCGAGTGACCCTACTACCAGGAAAAAAATTTCTTAATTTATACGGGGCCTTACACTTCCTTTTCGAAAAGACAGTCAATGCCAATAATTGGGGCCTTTCAGATTTTATCCTCTTTTGTTTTTTTTCTTTTTCTACTAGAACTTTTGATGACTTATAATGGCCAGCTTCCATTTGCCGCTGCGAAGTTATGAAATGCTTTGGCTTTTTATGTGTTGCTTATCGACGACAAGCACCGGCCAGCACTGCTTCAACGCCTCAACGGGTGGTAAGTTAATCTCTGCCCATCTCCTTATAAGGAAACAAAGGGCGCCCGCTCCTGGTAGTCTAGCCTGTTCCTGTTTGGTCTAGCCGGTTGTCGGCTAAAATTTTGGCTCTTTTACTGCTATCGGTTAATTTTTTCAGTTACGGTTAACAAAAAAGTTAAAAATTAACTTCTTTTGTTTCAAAAAGTTAAATATTAATTAACCTGTATTTTTCTGTATCTTTCAATCAAAAGAAAGGTCTTCGGATCATCTGGGGAGGAAACAAGCTATTCTTTTAAAAGATTTTAACACTTGATAGATCATACTTTTTATAAAGTATTCCACTTCTAATATTATCTTACAAATAGAAATGTCAATAGTCAATTCAAAAATAATTTTTGTGAAAAAGAAAAAGCAGATACTCGAACGCCCAACTTAAGACCGGAGAGCGACATTCATTTTAACACTATAATTGCCGTTTTCACACTAGAGACGGATTATTCGTGTGAGACGGGTTATCCGTCTGATGATTGGCCATTTCAGATAGGTAATACGTCTTAATTTGAAAATGAAATGGTTTTAATTTTGAATTAACAATCCGCCTGACTTTTGAAGACGGAATTATCCGTTCCAGATAGCCTATGTACAGCCACCCCCTCCCCTCAGAAAAAGTCGAAGAAGGGGTGTCTGTGGGGAGGGCGCGACTGTACAGACTACTCAGACGGATAATCCATTTCTAGCTCTAGTGTGAAAACGGCCAATAACAAAATTACCGAGTCCAGTGTTTTTAATGATAGCAAAGGACTGTACGGAACAACTGTCTGCCGTTGCCTTGTCCGTAGGCCTCATTATTCTGCGCTGCTGATGCTTTTCGGGTCACGTGGTCCGAGCAAGTTCGCTACCGAAATGCCTTGACCGAGATTGCGTGGGAAGACGCCGTACAGGGATTAGACATGGCAATGTCTACCGTAGAGTCAGAGAAAAGCAGGGAAATGTTGTTTATCGGCAACGTGTTTTACAAACTTTGACATCCCTACGTATTGTTTCACTAGTGTTTCGAGGGCACGACCTTCTGAAAATCGCAAATATTAATCCCCAGCAAGGAGCCACACTTTCGCTATGGAAAAAATTAGTTCCCCGAGAGAGCGGCGGAAATGGAGCCTAGGTCTAGGTCAACACCTAAAAGGCGCTTCGCCTAACGTACGTACGGAATCACACTAGCCGGGAAATAAAAAACGCAACCATAAGTGAGTTTAGTACCTTCATTAAAAGTAGCAAGTCTAGGGAGCAGTTTCTTTTACGGTTAACTCTTTTTTACCCTATTTACGGATAAAGGTTAAAATTTTTCAATTTTTACGGCTATCGACTAAATTTTTGGCCGTTTTACGCCTATCGGTTAACCCTATTGAGACCCTCCTGTCTGGATGCCTGGAACAGGCTACTGTGGGTCTCACGGATTACATTCTGCGTGACAAATGGGTCACGCGCCTTCAAAATTACATCATATCGTAACAACACAAAGTCTGGGTACCGCGAAAACATTATTTTGCCTCTAGGACAATATTTCTCAGACTTCCATCCTATGCGAGACTGCTTTTGCAGTCTAGGAAAGAGCAGGTAAAATTTCCGTAATCATACCAAAAAAAAAACACAAACGAGACAGCTGGAAATAAATCTGTAAAGAATTAGCCTGTAGTGTAGGCGTTTTCTTTGAGCGCGCAATTTGCTCGCGAAAGCGCCATGTTGAAACTTCCCGAAGAGAGGAGGGAAGGGATGGGACGAGTCAAAGGGAGCGGGGAGGGGGCGGGAGAGAGAAGAGAAATATAGAACCCTCTAGAGCATAATCTACTCGCCAAAAAAAAAAAACATTGGAACAAGCAACATAGTACTGTGAGCAAATCCTGATGACCAGTGAAGAAATAGCTTTGACTTTCTCATTGCCGTAATACACGCGACATTCCCAGCCGCTCCAATTCCAAAAGACTGACAGAAACGGAATAAACAATATAAAGTTACAGTCAATTGACAGGCATCAATCTGCTTCCCTATGCCGCACCATATCAGGAGCTCCGTTTGGCAGCGTACGGAGTTTTCCAAAAGAACAATGATATCGGGCAGGCGTATTTTTTCTCCCCTCCCCCTCCCCCCTTTCCTTCTTTCGCCCTCGCGCCTACCGTAATGGTAGCCTGCGTAGCAAGCGTTTCCAGTCGAGGTATAGCGCGAAAGTTGGAGCGGGAGCAAAAAAAATGGAAGGGGGAGGGGGAGGGGAGAGGAGGAAACGCTTGCCCGCAAACCCCACGATTCTGGAAAACGCCCCTTGATATTTCACAGTTCGGTTCATTTGTAAATTGACAGCTCGTCAAGATAGATAACGAATAGATTACCAGATTCGAAAAATTTACTTTGTTCCCTAAATCACGCTCCACGCGATTGGAAAACTGTCATAAAAAGAAGCTTTACGATAAAAGAAGGTTGAAACTCTAAGCGATTGCTGCGGAATTTCTTATTCTTTAAAGTTAAGTGAAATTTTGAACGTTATGTGGCTTTATCTCATCTCAAACCTTGTCAAAAC